ATTATTGCAGTGTAAAAACAACAACACATGGCCTAAAACTTAGTGGCTTGAAAAAAATCACAATTCCTTAAGTCCTGAATTCAGGCAGAACTTGGATGGTTGATTCTTCTGCTCTATGTGGTATTAACTGGAATCATTCTTCAATGATATTCAGCTGACAGATGACCTAGTCTGAAGTAACTAAACTGATTTCACTTACATGTCTGATGCTTTGGTGGCCACAGCTGGTAGGTAGGCTCAGCTGGGCCCTTCCCCCTCTCCATGCAGACTCAGGCCCTCTCCATGTAGTCAATAAACTTTTTGCTTGGCAGCTCAGGGCTCCAAGAGTTAGCATTCTGCCCTGGCCTGTGTAGATCAGTTGGTTGGGCATTGTACAGTGCACCAAGAGGTTGCTGGTTCAATTACTGGTCAGGGCACATGCCCTGGGTTTCAGGCTTGACCCCCAGTAGGGGGTGTGCAGCAGGCAGCCGCTTGATGTTTTGCTCTCACATCGATGATTCTCTCCCTCTTCTTTCTTCTCTCTCTCAAAAGAAATAAAAATGCATATCAAAGAAAAAAAAAAAGAGTGAGCATTCTAAGGGGCCTTTCCAGAAGCTGCAACTCTTCTTGTGACCTAACTTCAGAAGTTCATAACATCGTTTCCAACATAGTCTATAAAGCCAATGAATGATTAAGACCTGCCCAGTTTCAAGGAGACTAAGGAATGGACTCTACCTCTCAATGGGGGAATGGCATATATATACAAGGCATTGAAGGAATTGATAGTGGCCCTCTTAGAGACAAGCTACCATATTCAGGGAATGGGTGATCTTTGTAAATATGTAAATCTGATCACACCTAAGACCTTTAGTATCACTTGTGCTCAGTCCAGACTCTTGGTGATGACCTACAAGACCACGCTTGACCTGTGTACTGCACACTCTCGTTTCCTGTCCTTACGTGCCCATATCCTGGCCACATGGCCCTCAGGTGGTGCTTGGGACACTGCACACCTCCCACCTCTAAGCTCTTTGCTCACTGTGCTTTCTCTGCCTCGAGTGCTCTTCCTATGTCTCCACTTCAAGACTTTATTATCCAAGGTATGAAAGTGCTTATTTGTGCTTTTGTACATGTTTGAAAGCAGGGACTGTGTCTTAATGGTAGGATTCAACAGCTATTAGGCTGTGAAATGAATAATTCATTATCTCATTGGAAACAATGAGCATCATTATTTTCACTTTATAGAGAGGGAAACAAGTTGAGGGAGGGTTGCTGACGTACCCAAGAGCAAAGACTTGAACAGAGAAGACCCACATGCCTGACTCCAAACTTTCCTCATTTGCACAACCCCAAGAACACGCACTAAACATTCTCTGGGTGCCAGGTTCTCTGCCAGGTACGACAGACACTAGAGACAGAAGCTACGTTTATGCACTGTGCCCCTCTGCTGATGTCTACTTATAGGAGATGTCTGTCATTTCCCTGTCCACCCTCCCTTCCTCTCCCTGGGGTTGTGATATTGGAGTTCAGGACAAAGCCAGGTGACCTGCCATTGTCCCTGTCAGACACCATATTTCAGGGTCATCTCAAGGCTCCAGCCTGTTGAGAGCTTTTGGGATTCTGGCACTGTTGCCCACTCTTTCTGTTCTGCCTCCCAGCTTGTCCACCTACAAATCTGAGCACTGGACCTCTCCAACTTCATCCATGTCACCAACAAATATATGGATCAGATTAGGGCCAAGAAAAGAGCCCTGGGTGTTTCCAGGTCACCCACCAGGGCAGCCTGACCTGCTGCAACCTTAAGAGATAGCCATATAATTAAATCCTGAGCCTCCCAACCAGCCTTGGCTGGGTCATCCCAAGTTTCCCACATAAAGATTGGGAGTGATGATCCTGGGTACCTTAGGCAGGTGATGTCACGCACGGAGTCAGGGCCATGTGAGGTTTGCCCTTGTATATCCAGCACCCAGCACAGTGCCTGATACCCAGTGGGTACCCAGCAAAGGCTTATTGAATGGTGGAATGGGTGACTTGTTATTAGTGAACCCATTTTGGCCTATTCTGATTACTTACTTCTCTTGTTCCCAACAGGAATTTTCCAGTCTGTCCCTGCCCCCAGTCCTTTTCATATGTATCTGTTTATTAATGTGATCTGGATTAGTGCCCATAAGGACAAGTAACTCCCAGTTCAACCTATGGCTTTCCCCTGGTCTGCAAGTCCTGATCCAGGCCCTCCCCCCAAGTCCCTACCCCTTCCATCCTTCCATCCCTCCAATAAATCTATTGAATTCCTCACACAGTGCACTCAGGGTAAGCAATCAGAAACAGGCCCTGCCTGAAAGGAGCTTTCATTCTTCTGAAAAACGGACATCAAGTGCATAATCACACAAAACTTTTGAGAGAGTAAACCCTGTTGGACCTGATCTGGCCCAGGGTGCCAGGGAATGCTTCTGAAGGAAGTGTCATTTAAGCCAAGAGCTGCATTGTCACAGGAGCCAAGGAACAAATGTATTTCAAGAAGGGTGAAGGTGAAGCTTCAAATGCTGCTGATTTAACTCAAAGGAGGCCCTTGGGGTGATTTGGACATAAAGCAGATTGGGTTGGGTGGAGGAGTGAGTGAGAGGCAAGGAAATAAAGGCAGCAAGTGTAGTTAATTTGAGAAGCTTGGCTGGGAGGGGGAGGAAAGATATAAGGATAGCCATGAAGGATGTAGATCTGAGAGATTTGTATTTTAACCCTCACCCGAGCATATGTTCCGTTCATGCCCCAACTGGGGATCAAACCCGCAACCTAGGTATGTGCCCTGACTGGGAATTGAAACTGCAACCTTTTTTGGGTACCAGATGATGCCCCAACCAACTGAGCCACCTGGCCAGGGCTGAGATATATATATATTTTTAAGATGGGGGAGACTTAAGCATGATAAATGCCCCTAGTAAGGAGCCAGTAGAGATACATAGAGGTAAAGGTGGGAATGGAGGGATCAACCTGTGTATCGCTCCTCCATTTAAGAAATATCATTGAGCCCGGCCGGTGTTGCTCAGTGGTTGAGCATCGACCTAGGATCCAAGAGATAGTGGTTCGATTCCCGGTCAGGGCCCATGCCTGGGTTTCGGGCTCGATCCCCAGTGGGGGACGTGCAGGAGGCAGCTGATCAATGACTCTCTCATCATTGATGTTTCTATCTCTCTCCCTCTCCTTTCTTCTCTCTGAAGTCAATAAAGATATAGTAAAAAAAAAAAAAGAAATATCATTGAGCACCTGCCATGTGTCAGTCACTTTGAAAAAGGCTGACAAATCCCTTGCTTTTTGGCAACTTACTTTCTTTTTCTTCTTTTTTTAAATTCTCACCCAAGGACATTTTTTCCATTGCTTTTCAGAGAGAGTGGAAGGGAGAGAAAGAGAGAGAAACATCCATGTGAGAGAGACACGTCTATTGGTTGCCTCCTTTATGTGCCCCGACGGGGGCTGGGGATCCAGCCTGCAACCAAGGTACCTGCCCTTGGCCAGAATAGAACCCTAGACCCTTCAGTCCAAGGGCTGACGCTCTAACCACTGAGCCAAACCAGCTAGAGTGACAACTTATTTTCTAAAGAGAAAGGCAGGAAATAAGTAAACATAAGATGATTTAAGCTTCAAATAGTGCAATAAAGAGATTAAATGAAGTGATGTGGTAATGATAAGATACAACTCAAGAAAAGGTGATGTAACATGGCCTGGGGTGCTTTGGGTGTGATGCAGATCCAGATGATCCAGGGGAGCTGAGTCACCAGGGGAGTGCCAGGGTTCAGTGAGGGAGGTGGGAGTGGGGGGGGGGAAATGTCAGAAAAGAGTAAGTACATGGGGAGCATGTTAACAGGAGGGCTAGTTCCAGAGACCCCTTGGAGGTGACAAAGTCAGAGTGTCAGAGGGATGATCTTGGGGTTACCCTTTAGTCATGACCAACAGGTCAACTGGCCCTGACGACCCTCGGGTACTCAGACTCAACATTACCAACCACAAACCCATCTCCATCCTCCAAATCTACTGCTTCTGACTTACCAGCCTTGAGAGTGGAGTCTCTGTCCTCCCAGTCACCATGACTGGCAGCCTTAGCTGTGACAGCTTGCTCCTCTCTTCCCCTCTGAGACACCCAAAAAGAATGGGACTGAGCTGAAACATACAAAAAGAGTGGGAAGGCTCACACACCAAGTCTCTCCTGCCCTACTGCTTCACAGCTTCCCCATTTCCTGCCCTTCCTGCAGCAAGTCACCTCCACTCCTTCACTCCCCCCGCCCCAGACTCCTCTTCACTGCCCTCCATGCTCATAGGAAGCTCCTGGTCCAAGGAGAAAATGGATGAGTCTGGAAGAGAGAACCAATAGACTGGGAGGCTGGAATCCCAGTATCAGAAGTGTGGCCTTGCTTTGGGACTTGGAAATGAAAGCTCACCTGCGATGGCAGGGGCAGGGGTGAGGGCTCTGCAGTCCTCACTTTCTTGCATCATCTCCCCTGGGGTGGATGGCTTGTGAACTCTGCCTGATCCCTCAGATGTCCTTCCTTTATTCTCTGCCTGGGCCCCAGATGCCTCCCAGAGTAAGCTGCTAACTCTGGGCACTCATGGCTTGTTCAGTCTGCCTGGCCTGTGAGCTGTATTAAGAGGGTAGTCAGGTATCCTGAAAACGATAGAAAGCATTGGGAGCAACCCTACCAGGAACTGGCAGCGGTCAGAGCAAGGTGCTGGGGTCTGATGGGTGAGATTAGGGAGGAAGAAGAAAGAGATGCAATCAGCACCTGTCCACCTACAGGCTTGACTCTGCCAAAGCTTCTTGCACCGAATGGCCTGAGGGACAGGGGTCTTTGTCCTCAGGAAGCCTGGGTGGAGGTAAGAACCAGCTGGGAGAGATCTTTGTTTTCTGCCGCACCCAGAGCCAGGCTCCTGCCCTTTGAAGCCCCAGAAGTGGGAGGGTGCTCCAGCAGCATAGCTGACAAATAAATAGGAAGTCATCTTGAGGAAGCAGTTGATACATCCACGTGGGCCCCATGATACCTGAGATGGATTTGCTGTCTTACCCCCTGCTGGGGCTACTGCTGCTGATCTTGCTGGGAGCTGCCCTGTTGGCGGCCGCCCTGTCTTACCGGCAGCATGCTCCAGCAAGGAACAAGATACCCAGGGCACAGAGGCGTAGGGAGGTGGCACTGCAGCAGATGGCAGCCCTGGCACAGCGTCTCCGGCAGCAGGTGAGTGGACATCAATCCATGAAGCCCCCAGCCTCAATCCCAACAGGTGGATCCTACCTAAGGACATATCCCTCCCATTGCCTCATCACTTTCAAAAGACAGGGAGCCCCATCCCAGCTCTCTATGCTAGATCTTTCTGTTGTCAGTTCCTCCCCATTTCTGTCCTTTGACCCCTTTAGTCAGGGGCAGTGTGTTTTCTCTGTTCTCCCAGTGCCTGGCACATGGCTCAGTAACATGGTGTATTCACTTGGGCTATTTGTTGAAATAAAATAAACTGATGGAGGAACTGGAGGTAGGAGGCCAGGCCTCTTTCCTCTCTGGACCACCCCCAAACTCCACTGAGACAGGAACCCTGGCCTACATATTCTCCCTCCCATCTCCCATCCCACTGGGTTCTCCAAATGTTTGCTGAGCACCTGACAGGTGCAAAGCACAGAGGGTCACTGTAAATTGGGTACTCCCAGGGAGCTATGTGACTTAAAAGAGGGATTTGACAGCTTGGATAGGGATATTTCAAGGCACTGAGACAACCATTATGGCTGGGTTGGGATTTGCAGATGAAGTGACTGAGTCATTGGCATGTCAGCAAAGCCAGTGTAGAGCCGCAGACAGGAGGGTGGGAAGGAGGGGCATGGAGACAAGTTCACACCGGTGCTTTGGGTTTGCTGTATGGCCTGAGGACACGACAGCCCCCTTCTGGGCCTTGGGCTCCCTGGCTGCTCAAGGAAGGGTAGGCTTGCGGTATCTTAGGGTTCCCAACTTTGGTTGATGGTGCTGGTCTTCCTCTGGATCCTCGGAATTGGGGGTTGGAGAGAGTGCCTGAGGTGCTGTCCCAGTGATTGGGAGTTCCTGAGTGTCCTCTGCAGTCCCCTAGACGGTGATTGATGGCCCCAATGGGCAGCTTCTCTGCCCAAGCTGCTGCAGTTCCTGAGAATGTGTATTAATATTAATTGGGGCTAATTAGTTGGATGAATCAATCTGCCCCCAGAGAGCAGCTGCCCCTCCTTGGTTGATGGGGAGGAAATCTGGGCTAATGGGGTTGCAGTGGCAAGTCAGCGTGATGGAGAGGACCCTGGTATGCATGTGGTGGCTGCAGTGGTGGGTTGAGATTCCTTTACTGCCAACACCAGGGCCTGCCTCTGAGTGCCTCCTGCTGGTGTTATTGTGTGCTGGTTGGGTTTGGTTCCATGTTTGTGGTGTGTGCCTGACTGGATGTGTATGTGTCATATTACTGGTTAAAGTGTATACGTCTAGATATGATGGGTCTGAATGTTTGGTTGAGTGTGTTTGTGTGTGGTCATGTGTCTGATGTGTAAGGACATCTGGTTCTGTATGTATCTGGACATCTGGATTGTATACATGCGGGCATTTGGAATATGTAGCTATTGGGCTGTGTACCTGGTGGGGCTGTGTGTGTCTGATTGGCTGGGAGAGTGGAAAGGGTTTGGGGTGAGGTCCCCATTGTCTCCAGCCTCCCCTCAAGGCTATAGGCCTGTTGGCTCTCTATTCTCTCCCCAACAAAGCTATACAGGTCTGCCCTGGGCACCTTCCCACTAGGGTCACTCCTCCCCTGGGGACACATACTCTCAAGGCCTCAGGTGTCCAGCTTTAGGTCCCAGGGAGTTGGGAGGCTGAGACATACGTCAAGCCCTCGTAGGGTTCAAACAAATCCAATTCAGTTCGTTTAGCAAAATTTCCCAGAGAGCTCCTGTGGTCTTCCCTTTGGCTGAAGCCTGGGGACAGACTCATCATAAAGATGAATCTGACATCTGACTCAGATTTGTCTTAAAGATGTTCTCACTCTGGGTGGAGTGTAGTGGAAACAAAGCTGTGCCAATCTTGATGGGGGCAACTCAACTGAATGTGGCGAAAGCCAGATGCCCATGGAGCTGTGGGACTTGGCAGGAGGGGTGATTTGCTCTGTCTGGGGCAGGTCATATGGGGAAGGCTTCCAATTGCTGAGCCTTGCAAGATGTGTAGGGGTTTTTCAAAAGAAGGAAAGAACAGGATAGGTGACACCAGACAGAGAAAAACCTGAGATAAGGCAGTGTTTCTATATAACACAGAGAAAATATCTGTAGGGTCCACTGGGGTAAACAGACAAGCTGCTCATGGCTGAAGGCTGCTTACCAAGAGGTTCTGGTCACCTCAGGAGGAAACTGGCTGCCCTGAGGGTTGAGGGTTTTCACGGTATTAAGCATATTTAACCACCACTTTGGAAATATTAATGATAAGTCAATATGCTAAAAACTTTAGAATATGTTTTCTTTGATTTTCAAACCACAATCGGAAGGCAGCACCAGGTGAGTGTGGAGAAGGCAGATGTCTACGGGGCTGTGGGACTTGGCAGGAGGGGGTGATCTGTTCTAAACTAAACTATATATTAAAACAGCTTAAAAGGGATATAAGTTGAGGTTCAATTCTTTCATCAAATGATTCTAACAATTTCCAAATAATTTGTTGATTTTTTAGAGAACTTGTGGGGATCTATTGGTGTGGTTATCATCTTTTGAAGATGTCCCTCTCTTTCAAAGCTCTCCCAATAAACTAAGAGTCATTAGGTGACTGACAATCACATTAAACAGAGACTTTCTTTTTCAGAAATAAATGATAAAGATTTATTTAAGGGTTTGCAAACTAGAAACATAACTGGGCAAAAACCCAGAAGTGTTTCCGAAGAATGTAAAGTTAAGAGTTCTTATAGTAAAAAGTGCATTCTTGAGAATTATCACTCCTGCGTTCTTAGCCCTATTATTGGTCCAGGACAGTTATCAGTCAGAGGTCAAGTGGTCTGGATGATAGATTCCAGGTGGTCTGGAAGATGCGCACCAAGAGGTCTGGTTATATCCAATGGTCTGGATAATGGGTGTCAGGTTAATGTATACGTGAGTCCTGCAGGGATAATCAGGGGGTTATCTGGAGGTCTGATATATGTCCAGGCATTGACGCAAGACTGGAAAATTGAGAGGTTTAAGTTCCCAGGCTAGTTAAAATAAGAATAGAATCTCTTTACCAGGCCTCAACTTTCTTGACTTTAGTAATTTAGCAGCTTGACTACACTGAGTCCATTTTACCTCTTCACTCTTTCCTCGGAGCCTGGAGGAGAGATAGGACAGAGAAGCTGGAGGGGAGAGATGGCATTGGGTGTGGATCCTTGGTTGCCCAAGAACAAATAACCCAGGTTACGTACTTTGGCTCTTTCTGCCTACTTCCCCTGCTCCTAATTTTAGCAACCAAAATTCCACTCCCCCATAGGGCTCTTCCTCCATCCATTCTGCTTCTATCTCTTGACTTCCCACAACCTCCTTATGGTCCCCTAGCTCCAGCTGCTTCTAACTCAGACCATTCAGTGACTCAACAAAGGGAAAGCCCTGTCTGTGTTGGGGGAGGGGAGTGAGTGGGGAGGCAGATGTGGTTCTGAATGGAGACCTGGGGAGCGGAGAGAAACTGGTTTTGAAATTTTTTATTATTATTTTTTACCTCTGTTCACATTCATTTCTCCTCATTAGGGAGTGGAGTGAGACTGAAGGACAAACTGGGCCTTCTCAGGACCAACCTTGAGCGTGGGCTAGCAGGGGGCGTCTTGCCTCCAGCACGGGGCATGTTTAGTGTGTCTGTGGGCATCACAGGTGTGTAGGACCTGTGGGTTTTGGCAGGCAGGGCAGGAAAGGAGATGCCATGGGTGATGAAAACCACAGCAGTGGGAAAAGGAAGAGGAGACACCGGGAGTGAGATGTGGAACCAGGTCTCACTAGGAAGTGGTAGAGTCAAGAGAGCAGTGGTGGTGGCCTGTCGTCCCCACCCCTGCCCCTTACAAGTTCCACTTCCACCCCACATCCTCTGCTGTGCAACACCAGCCTGTCCTCGTCATCCCCATCTCAGATGGTGCCCTTCCAGCCTCCCTGCCCTTAAGGCTGTGTTCCCAGCAGTTTCTTCTTGTTTTCCTGAGGTCACTTGAGGGGCTCCGCATGTTGATTCAGGGCCTGAGAAAGGGCTGTCATAGCTCCCATCACGCGGCCCAGCTCCCAGGTCTCAATCTGGCTCCGGAATTGCTGTAGGAAGCGGTCAGGGTGCCAGTGAACCTGCTGGACCCTCAAGTACCTCCTCAGAGCCCCCTGCTCTTCCAGTAGTGGTGGGGAAGACTCAGCAGGCACCAGAGCACTGATGAAGTAAGTCTTGCTCTGTTGAGTAGGCCCCTGCACAGCTGATCCTCCACTATGGTTAGAGGTCATTGGTCAGTGGTCACAGCCAGTCTTTGCAGCTGATTGACCTGGGGGGGTAAATCCCTCCCATTGATATGCCAACAACAATGAAGGCTCAACTATAAGAGGAGGGTGTACACTGCCCACATGGGGGACACACTTTGAGTGCCCAGCTTGGTTGATCAGAGAGGCTGTGCCACAGAACACCTACTATATTAGGCTACTTTATCAAGCCTGGGAGATGTAGCAGCTCTACCTAATACATAGAAACAATCACAGGGAGGCTGCCAAAATGAGGAGACAAAGAAACATGTCCCAAATGAAAGGAAAAAGCAAAACTTCAGAAAAGAAACTAAACAAAATGGAGACAAACAATCTACTAGATGAAAAGTTCAACACATTGGCTATAAGGATGCTCAGTGAACTTAGTGAGAGCCTCAACAGCATGAAAGAGGACAAGTCAGAAATGAAGGATACACTAACTGAAATGAAAGATAATTTATAGGGAATCAACAGTAAAGTAGATGAAACCAAGAATCAAATCAGTGATTTGGAGTACAAGGAAGCAAAAAACACACACAAAAAACCCCCAAACCCAATCAGAACAGCAAAAAGAAAAAAGAATCCAAAAATATGAGGATAGTGTAAGGAGCTTCTGGGACAACTTCAAGCATACCAATTTTCACATCATGAGGGTAATGGAAGGAGAAGAGAGAGAGCAAGAAATTGAAAACCTATTTAAAAAAATAATCACAGAAAAATTTCTTAACCTGGTGAAGGAAATAGACATACAGGTCCAGGAAGCACAGAAGGTTCTAAATAAAATGAAGTTCTCACTAAATTCATCTACTCTTTCCCTAAGTTCATTGAGTATCCTTACAACCAGTGTTTTGAACTCTGCATCTAGTAGATTACTTGTCTCCATTTTGTTTAGATTTTTTCCCCCCTGGAATTTTGTTCTGTTCTTTCATATGGGACATGTTTCTTTGTCTCCTCACTTTGGCCAATATGTTTCCCAGTCTTGGTAGAGTGGCTTTATGTAGGAGGTTCTGGGGCCTCCTAGAAGATGCAGGTCAAGATAAGCCACCTCTGTGCCTTGTTTGGGGCTACCTGGTGGGGGAGCTTTGGAACAATATGCAGATGGCTGCTACTTGTGCTGGTATTGGAGGTGCCCAAGAGAGGCCAAGCTGTGAACCGAGGCTGCCTGCCGCTAGAACTGGGCATGGGGCTACTTAGCAGTAGATACGGGGTGCTCCAAGGCCAGATGCTGCTTGTTTGGGGTTTGTGAACCTTTGAGAGATTTTAGGAAAGTTTACAGCATAAGCAAAGACAGACCTTTTGTATGGAAAAGCCACTGAACATGGCTTGGGTGGGCCCACAAGTTGGGTGGGACAGAGTCTCAGGGAATCACGAAGGCCAAGCAACTTGTGTTAGCCAGGGTGACGGAGATTCAGATGTGGCGCCTGCCTGTGGCTTTGTGTGTGTGTGTGTGTCTGTGTGTGTATGTAAGTGGGGGGGGGGTATGGCTCAGCAAAGAAACAGTGGCCTCTGGCAGCACTTCTGTCTGGGAGAAAGCTGCCCTTCCAGCCCCCACTCTAAAGCCAGACAACTCAGTTCCTCCTTATTTGCCAGGCTGGGGAATTCTGAGCCGAGACTTCAAGATGGTAAAATGGCACAGGGAGTAGAGGGATTGGGCAGTGTGGCTAGAGCAGCAGTATGTGGGAGGGGGCAGAGAAGGAGGAGGCTGGTGAGATGGACCCACCAAGACTTAGGCAGGGAAAGGGCTTAGTATAGTGCTTGGTACCCAGTAAGTGCTTCGTTACAAACACTTCCCTCCCCAAGAGCCAGTAGAGGGTAATGGTGAAGGTATAGATGACCTGGGGTTAAGTCCAGGCTCCGCTACCTTGCTCAAGGGAGTTAACCTCTCTGTGAGTCAGTTGCCTTCATTGGTGAAATGGAACTGATAATCAGAATAGCTATCCAAGGGTTTTTGTGAGGATTTAATGAATTGATGCAGGCAAAGTGCTTGACATGCATTGGTGTATCTGAAGATGAACACATGTTATATGCTTATAATGAAAGCCTTATAAACCACACTGAGGAGAGTTGTTGCAACTGTACTCTGAGGGCAGTTGGGACCTATGGTCAGATATAGGTTATATAAGATCTTAAAAGGATCACCCAGGTTGTAGTAAAGAGGTTGAGCTGGAGGGGAAGAGACAGGGGTTCCAGTGAGGAGGTTGTTGAGAAAACAGAAACAGAGAAGGTTCTAGGCAGAAAGGAAGCCAGGGAGTCAGAGGTGGGAGATAAGGAGGCAAAACCACCTGTTGGCAGTTTGTGTGGCTAAAGGAGTGGTCACTGAAGTCCTACTGCCTCTGAGGGGGATGGCTCAGCAAAGGTGTGGATCCAGGCTCTGCCACTTACTAGCTGTGTGTCCTTGGGCAAATAGCACGCTCTCTTGGTGCCTCAGGGTATGGACTGGAAGGCAACTTCCAGGAAACGTGGGATGCCAGATTTCTCCCCTGAAGGCAAACTGCACAGAGCTGAACCTCATTTCCATAACCTGAGTTCCAAGATATGCATATAATGTCACTCCCACTCTAATTGTGCCCCTTCTGAAGAGCAACACTAAGGGACAGGCTCTTTTCTGTGCTAGGCCCTGGACTGGGCATTGAGGAGGCAGAGACAGAAGGGAATATTTGTTCCCTGTAGGGCTCTCATGCCAACCTGGAGACAGACCAAGAAATGTTTTTAATGCTAAGGGTGAGCACAGGGATAGTTATATACTGAACACATGAAAGTGTGTACAATGGAGTGGGGTGTGTATGTGTGTGTGATGTTGAGTGTGTGGGAGTGGGCCTGAATGGATCAGCCTTTGATATCTGTCCTCCCTATCCCATCTCCACAGGAACCAGGCCTGGACCCCAAGCCCATCCTGGAGCTGTCCCTGGTGCAGCTGGCCCAGAAGTTGCAGGCAGACGAGCTGAGTCTGGAGAGTGTTCTCTGTAGCTACTTAGAAGAGGTGAGGGGCAGGGGGCAGGGGGCAGGA